TCAGCACCACTTTCCTTGCATCCTCTGCACATGAGCAGGATTCACTTTCACACAAGGAGAACATGCCAGGAGAGGCATAGCAATGTTTTAACAGAGCCTGAGCGCCGGTGTAGACAAGAGCAGCTAATTAGAGAGGAACACAGTGTAAGTGGGCATATGTGCACGGGGGGAGCAGTCAGCCAACACACGACAGGAGAGCGCCGGTGGGGGGGGGGGCGACTGACCGGCTCCAGAGCCAACATGGAGCCAACATGGAGGCATGTTATGGTCTCGCCGCCCCGAGACCCTGGCACATCTTCCTGCAGCCGAGCCCCCCACAACCTGTCCTCTCTCCAAGACTGGACCCATTCTGAGGGTGTGTGTGTGTGTGTGTGTGTGTGTGTGTGTGTGTGTGTGCGTGTGTGTGTGTGTTTCTCACCTGTGACTGGGCTCGGAACATGAGCAGCAGCTCCATCCGCTCATCAGCAGTAAGTTTGGAGCGGTCGCAGGGCACCCGGGCCAGCTCCTCCCGACACTTCAGAGTCTTGTTTTTACAGAACAGATCCACCACCAGGTTATCGTCCAGACCGCTGACAGCACACTCATAAAAGGTCCCATTTAGCAGGGCCACACAGAGCCACATAATAGGAGCCACACAGGCTCCACTGAAGATATTCATAAAAACCCTGAGTGAGCCAAAGCAGTTCCCCCGGGGGCACAACTTCATGGGGTTCAGGCAGCAGCCGGTATACAGCCTCCACAGCCTGCTGCTGAAGAAGAGACCTAAAATCAGCAGCACGCCAGCCGGGCCCAACAGGAAAGTCAGCCCATAGGCAAAGTTCTGATCATGGTTGCACGGACACTGAAAGGAAACCATGGAGAAAACACGCTCCCCGCCTATAGTCAACAGAGCCATGAAGCTGTAGCCAATGGTGGCCTTCTGGTTCATGAAGAACCGCAGGACGGTCTGGAAGTTATCCATGGTGTCAGCGGGAATGGAACACTCCACGAGATGTGGACAGTGTGAAAGAGTTGTTATTTCCTTTCTCAGCTGAAGACAAGCCTGTCCCTGCCCCTCCCTTTGGCTGCCTCTCTCCAGACTCCTCCTTCAGCCCTACAGTATTTCACTTTACTCACCACATACCTCTTCTCCAAAGGGAAGTCCCTGCTTTACTGTCACTAAAAACAAAGGCACAGCCCCAGTTGTACAGTTACAGCTTCACTCTACTTCTCCTTCTCTGTTCATGTATACATTCCTCTTTAAACGCTTCCCTCAACAGCTCTAAGTCCTGCTGTTCTCGTTTTATAACCACCTGTCTGTGTCGCGTGACAGTGACGGGAATGCAGCCTGAAGCAAAACAGAAATTAACACACACCAGAGGAACTGTTTCCACTCACTTTAATACAAAGCAGTCAATCATTCGTATACAAAGGAAATGAAGGGCAACTTGATTTGTTTCTCTTCAAGCACACACAAACAAACCTCAGTTCCACTGAGAGCAGAGCGCATTCAACAAGCATGAAATCAACCAATTGTATGAGGGATGACAAAATGTGCACAGGGGGAAAGTATAGCCTACACGCAGAAAGTCATACTGAATAAGAGCATATCCATGCTTTTGAATCTTTCCATCTAGAACATACCATACGTTGCAGAGGCAGAGCAGCAGTCAGCATCAGTGCACAGAGGAAGGGATCACATCCTCTTGGTGGTTTCCATTAGAGAGACTAAATCCCTGTGAGTGCTTCACAGGAAAACCCTTCCACATCATTATCTGCTGCCATTACAGCAACACTAGTCTGTACAATGCCTGATGCTTATATGCTGATTGGGTGCATGTGGAGGCGTGTGGTGCAGTGGGTAGTGCCTTGATGTTGGGATCAGTGGGACACAGGTTCAAACCCCACTGCAGTCAGCATGTCGTTGTGTCCCTGCAGACACTTCACCCCAAATTGCTCCTGTGGGGATTGTCCACAGTATTGAGTATGTAAGTCGCTTTGGATAAAAGCGTCTAACAAGTGACATGATGTAATGTATGTAACATGCATTTTTGTTAAAGGGGCTCNGGGACCTACATCTGTTTACACAGTCACATGTGGGGACTCGCCTCCCTTATGGGGACAAAATGGAGGTCCCCATGAGGGGAATCATCAATTTTAGGGTGAAGACGTGGTTAGAGGGTTAGGGTAAGGTTAAGGGTTAGGGTTAGGCATGTGTTAGTTATGGTTAAGGTTAGGATAAGTCTCGAGGAAATGCATGTAAGTCAATGTAATGTCCCCTGAAGTGATGTATACATGGTNTGTGTGTGTTTGTGTGTGTGTGTGTTTGGATAGGTGTGTGTGTGTGTGTTTGTGTGTGTGTGTGTGTTTGGATAGGTGTGTGTGTGTGTGTGTGTGTGTGTGTGTGTGTGTGTGTGTGTGTGTGTGTGTGTGTGTGTGTGTGTGTGTGTGTGTTTGGATAGGTGTGTGTGTGTCACGTAGTTAATAGAGTTCGTCCGGGACACTGAAGACATTCTCCGTCTTCTCCTCCACTCCATTAGGCTGTAAGTGGAGGCGGAAGTGTATCAGATGTGTGTGTGTGCTTTAAGTCGATAAATATATATATATATATATATATATATATAT